TTTTTTCTGTTTCAGGGTTTAGATCGGTAAGCCTTTTTATAACAAACAAAAAAAATGTAAATACTTTATAGAAGAACTTTCCATTTGGTTTCTTTAAATGATAGCCCCTATTATTATATTTTAAATATCTTCAAATTTTACCCCCCAAAAAAGTTTAGGAATTTATCTGTTGTATAAAACATGTTTTGTGCAATAGAATTACGGTTGATAGCTGAATAAAGGCAGCTGACTTGGAGGACCATATCAGTTAAAATTAGGTTCCAACTGGGGTGCCTGGGTGGTGCAGTCGGTTAAGCGTCCGACTTCAGCCAGGTCACGATCTCGCAGTCCGTGAGTTCGAGCCCCACGTCGGGCTCTGGGCTGATGGCTCAGAGCCTGGAGCCTGTTTCAGATTCTGTGTCTCCCTCTCTCTCTGCCCCTCCCCCGTTCATGCTCTGTCTTTCTCTGTCCCAAAAATAAATAAACGTTGAAAAAAAAATTTTTTTTTAAATAAAATTAGGTTCCAACTAGAATTAAAATTAAAAAACAAAACTGGATTAAACTAGAATTAAAATTAACAAAACTAGGTTAAACAATATAGTTGTTTATTTCTCGGTTATATAGAAGTCCATAGGTATGTGGTCCAGAGGTGATATGGGAACTTCATGCTCTCAGGATGTCCATGTTGTTCTTGTTCTGCATGCATGGCTTCCATTCCCAAGATAATGATACATGATAGCTCCTGGAACTCCAGCCATTACATCCACATCCAGGCAGTAAAGAGGAAAGATGACAGAAACATTTCCCCTCTCCCATTAAGGACAATATCCAAAAGTTGTACATCCACTTTTATTCCACTGGCCAGAACTAAATTATGTGGGTACATATAACCATAAGGGAGGTTGGAGGTTATAATATGTATTCTGGGATGGTATGCCCCCACCAAGAAAACTGGGAGTTCAATTACCAAGGAAGGTTGATGATGTAGAAAAATATTTTAGAGGATAGGCAGTATGTAACATGAGGCATCCTTCATTCTGGGCATAGGCATAAACTGAAATCTGGAGAAAAAAAAAGGAAGCAAGAAATACTTTTCTACCTTGATCATTGGCAAACATGTTTTTTTCATTACAGAGGAGAAGTTAAGGTAAAATATGCTACTGCTCCTAATCTGATGGGTAGGGATGTCCTTGGACCCCATAGGAACTGCTGAATGGGAGTCAGTGAGATCCCTCTCTTCAGCTTCTTCAGCTTGCACACCCAACTCAGGACCTTTATTTCAGAAATCTTACTTCCCCTCAACTGGACCCCACCATTTGGGCCTTCCCCACCTCAATAGTCCCTCTTTACAAAAATGCTAGAGCAGGTCTGGTTTCAAGAAATCAGATTTTCTAAAACAATTTGAGTTCCTCAACAAAACAGAATACAAAAGGACCATTAAATGTGTTATAACTATTAAAAGACGTAGGCGGATGTTCATTCTCTTTATCTGTATGAAGAATTACTCTTCCTGACATTGAGTCATGTTCACTTTTCCCAAGAGGGAATAAAATGTTCCCCATAAAAGCACAACCTTTTCTTTCCCAGTGCTCTGGACCCATGCCAACATAACAGAAACAGCCAAATAAAGGGTTGTGATAAGCTCCTCAGGTGCCAGGGGAATGTTATCAGAGGAAATCATCTTCCTCTCTGTGACAAGACATGGATCCTCAGCATACTCACAAAAATATTGGGGCCCCCAAGGAATAGAAATTCATCAAATACTCAGTGGGGAATTGTGCACAAAACAGCAATGGAAACCAGTGGGAACACAATTTTATTAACTCCAAAAAGTTGTACCAATTGGGTTCTTAGGAATAGTCCCCAGATTGATATGCCTGGAGACAAAGGACTTTTAGTGACAAATTTGATAAAATGTGTGAGAAATACTGTCTTTATTTGCTTAAGATTACAATGTTAAATTTGGAGGAATGTTTTAGTCTGTAAAATACAGTCTTTATATCATCTGTTGCACCACAACAAGGAATATTAGGGACACAAGTTGAATGGATTTGATGTGCAAAGAATTTTTAAATGCAACCTCTTTGATTTTATCTATAACCAAATAAGTCTTTGCTACATGCTGGATGGTAGGAAAAGAAAACAAATGTCTAATCTGGTTGAAGAGGCACAGTGTTTCTCCAGGAAGAAAGTTCAGTCTCAGATTTTTCTGTCTTTTCAGTCCTTTACTTTCATTCAAGATGGCATCCAAGGATGGAGCAAAAGGTTGTGGTTTGAGTTACCAGGTGGGGATACCAGATGGTTGGGTATAGTGTACTTCAGCATGTCTCATCTCTGAGGCAGCAACTTTTGTCCATCAGCCTAGTGCCTGCCCTGCTGGTTTGTGTGGCTAAAGTTTGTGGCTACTGTGATTCCAGGTCTGTACTTAATAACTGCTCCCAGGAGCACATTTGCACTGTTGGCAGGGTAGTAAATCGGCACAGCCACTATGGAAAACAGTATGGAGATCACTCAAAAAGTTAAAAATAGAACTACCATAAATCCATTAATCCTTATTCTGGATATATTTCCAAAGTAAATGAAAACAGGGTAAAAAATATATCTGCACTCCTGTGTTCACTGCAGCATTATACACAATAGCCAAGGTATGAAAACAACCCACGTGTCCATCAGTAGATAAATGGATAAACATACACACAATGGAATATTATTCAGCCATGAAAAAGAAGGAAATCCTGTCTTTGCGACAATATAGATGGATCTTGAGGGCATTATGCTAAATGAAATAAGTCAGAGAAAGACAGACCCTATATGATCTCACTTATATGTGAAATCTAAAAAAGTTTCACACATAGAAGCAGAGTAGGAAAGTGGTTGCCAGGGCCTAGGAGTAAGAGAAATGGGGAGATGTTGGTCAAAGGGTACATAATTCAGGTACAAGATGAAGTTGTAGGGATCTAATGTAGAGCAGGGTGATAATACCATGGCTAATAATACCAGAATATAAACTTGAAAGTTGCTGAGAGAGTAGATCTTAAATGTTCTTAACCACACACACACACACACACACACACACACACACACACACACAAAGGTAATTATGTGGGATTATGGAGGTGTTAGCTAACACTGTGGTGGTAATAATTTTGTAATATATATCATTTGTATATATATTTATTTGTATATATATTACAGGTTATACACCTTAAATTTACACAATATTATATATCAATTATATCTCAATAAAACTGTAAAAATATAAAAGAACTGTTTCCAGCTTTCCAATAGAAATTTTCACACTGTGACCTAGAAATGAATAGAGCAACATTCTAGCTTGAGTTTCCTGGATCAGTTTCCTATAAAGCAAGAATTTTAGCCTGAGAACCACTCTGCACAAGGGAATATAAATATTTTCACAATAATACATCCATCTCTTGACTCTATAAATATCTCCTGTGTGAAGGATTTATTCATGAAAAAAAATGGCTGTTGAATGTTGCTATTCCAATTGAGTGAGTGGTTCATTCATTGGAGATGTAAGTGATGATCATAAATAGAAATATAGAATACTAACACTGGAAGGAACTCATCTCTGTTTTATAGTCTTGAGAAAACAGCCTAGGTTAAGCTAAGTGACTTACTTAAAGCCACCTAGTTAGTAATTGGCAGAGCTGGAATCTGAATCTGGGACCTCTGAGTCTTATTACACCACAGAAGTTTAAAAGTACTTTTTTACTTACCTAATTACTAATTCACTACAAACTAAAATGGAGTCTGCATGTTTCTTATCAATAATTAAAATGTTAATATGAATATACTGTTACCTTTTTTGGAAGTTCAGTTGGGTTATGAATAGTCTTCATTAATATTAATTAATTAAAAGTGTTTAACTTTCTGGGGCACCTGCGTGACTCCCTTGGTTAAGCATCTGACTCTTGATTTTGGCTCAGGTCATGATCTCACACTTGATTAGATCAAGCTGCCTGACAGCATGGAGCCTGCCTGGGATTCTCTCTCTCTCCCTCTCTGTGCCCCTTCCCCACATGCACACGCACACACTCTCTCTCAAATCAACTTTAAATTTAAAAAAAATTTTTTTGTTAATGTTTATTTATCTTAGAGACAAAGCGTGAGTGGGGGAGGGGCAGAGAGAGAGAGAGACACACAGAATCTGAAGCAGGCTCCAGGCTCCAAGCTGTCAGCACAGAGCCCAACGTGGGGCTCAAACCCACCATCCCTGAGATCATGACCTGAGCCGAAGTTGGAGGCTTAACTGAATGAGCCACCCAGGCACCCCAATAGAAATAAACTTAAAAAAAAAAAAGTCTTGGGGCGCCTGGGTGGCGCAGTCTCTCACGGTCCGTGAGTTCGAGCCCCGCGTCGGGCTCTGGGCTGATGGCTCAGAGCCTGGAGCCTGTTTCCGGTTCTGTGTCTCCCTCTCTCTCTGCCCCTCCCCCGTTCATGCTCTGTCTCTCTCTGTCCCAAAAATAAATAAACGTTGAAAAAAAAAAAAAAAAAGTCTTGGGGCACCTGGGTGGCTCAGTTGGTTAAGTGTCCAACTTCGGCTCAGGTCATAATATTCGTGAGTTCAAGCCCCGCATTGGGCTCTGTGCTGACTGCTTGGAGCCTGGAGCCTGCTTCAGATTCTCTGTTACCCCTCTCTCTCTCTCTGCTCCTCCCCCACTCATGTTCTGTCTCTTTCTCTCAAAGATGAATAAACATTTGAAAAAATTAATAAATATAAAGTATTTAACTTTCATACAAATATCTATTTTACAACCAAAACAGTTCTGAATCAATGTGAGTGACAGAACACTGGGATTTTCTCCTGGGTCTCAGTATTATGTCTTTGGAATGCTTTGTTTCAAGCAAGCATTTTTAATGACATCAAGTAAACTATTTCTAAGAGTTCTTTTACTCTTAAAAATTAGAAGAAGAAATACCCAAAGAAAGTATTTGGGTCAATTGGTAATTGACTAATTCCAAATCACAATTACACTGTATTTTATGTCTCCATATAGATCCAAGAACAGAACTACCTGACTCCAGCATGAAAATCCTCTTGAGAAACTCTCCTGCAGAGCTTGTCTCCCAGCCACGTCTACACATATGCCTCTGTGGATAGTACATTAATACTACTCACAATAGAAGGTATTGTTCTTTATAGTTAGTCAAATTAATTATTTGAGCACCCCAGGATGTACAACATGAAAGAACAGCTTTATAGATATTCAGGGCACTATATAATATGCCACGGTGAATTATTGACTCTAATGAGAACATCTTTAAAAGGCTGAACTCCCAGGGGTGCAGGATGAAGAATTGGGAGGAGGGGCTCGTACGTTAAATCAATAATTAGGAAGAAAGGAGGAAGACAGACAGATTGGGGCAGAGATTTCTGAAAATTGAACACTTGTCATCTGTGCATCTCCCTTGCTGATAATTCATTAAATGAAGATTAACTTCAGTAACTTATTGACCAACATGCCAATAAATCCTGAGCTATAACATCTGTGATGCAGGAAATGGACAAGCCTAGATACCTTGCCAGGGGGATGGACTAAGTGTGATGTGACTTAGAGAAATTCATGAGCATACTTAAACATTGTGCTAGTTATATGTGTTTCACATTTATATACTGTGCTACATATCATATTAGTTTGATAGGGGATATAAAAGAAGCAGGTAACATTCCTAAAGGTGTTAATAGTTTATCTAGACATGAACTATGCATATATATGGTTCACTCAAGAGGATTTACCCATATTTCTTGAAACACCACTATGATCATTTGCAACAAGGAATTGTATCCTTTACATCATCTTTGACTCTATCTCATGTTCACATTTTATCTAAGTAAACTTTCTTTAGAAACAGACTGTTTTCACTGTTGCCATACATGCTACCAAAAGAACAGAGATGGTATAAGTTTTTGTGCATCATGACAAATTTTTTTTAAAAAGTGTAATTATAGACTGCAGTGAAATTTTCGGAAGCACTTCTAGTCTTCTAGAATCACTTATGTATATTGTGTTAAAGGCTTTTCGGACGATAAATCAGATGTGGAAGAGTGATACTTTTGGACCACTTCTTAAAGAGGTTCAATTGGTTAAGGTCCTGGAACATGAGGAAAACCCCAATATTCAGCTCCTAAGAGAAATATGTATATTCTACACTACTCAGAAAAGTTGCAAAGATAACTATCATTTTGAGGTCTTAGAGAAATAAGGGAGGTAGTGTTAGAGAATCCTCCATTCTTCAATTTCTACGGTAGTGCCAAGAGGGTTGGGGATGAGTCTGCAGGTGTTTGGGACTTGCTGGGTTCCTTCCAGTACAGTCTCCCTTCCATCTGCCCTATGAAGGGGCTCAACTCAGTCTACCCACAGCTCCCTCCAAGAGTAGAGAGCACATAAAGAATTCATTCCCACCAACACATCCTCAGATGAGGTCATCACAGTGTCAAGGTCTGTCTTTCCCCTGGACCTTCTATCTATTACCAAGGCTTCCAGAACCTGAATCCTGTTCCCTTCAACCTACTCCTTAGAACCTTCACAACTGGGTATTCGAGCCGAGGCCATGGGTCCCTGTTGCCTGAACTCTTAGGGTCTCATTGCCAACGCCTTCCTGGACTGACCATCTACATGTTCTGTAGCCTGAGGTGTTACTGCACGTGAATTTCAAACACACACACACACACACACACACACACACACACGCACGCACGCACACACAGATGCACTCACACAAACACACACTCAGGGTTTCCTCATTCTGAGATTTTATGAAAGAACAATGGTAACTGCGGCAACCCTTGTTGTCTCCCTGTGGAGTTTTTGAAAGATTGATGTTTTGTATTGTTTTTTCATCCTAGAAAACATTGGCCTCAAAAGGCAAAAAGTCTCTGGCAAGAGAAATGTTCTTAGAAGGCCCTGAAAATATAGTCTCCTTTCATGACAGTTAGCAAAATATCTTCTGTCACTTCTGGGACTCTCATTCCCCCTCTGTGCTGCATTCATAGCGTTCAAGTATATTAAGCATTCACATCATTTATATGTGGCCCAGCCTCTGTTCTAATCCTATGTATTAGTACAGCTAACTGCAGCTCACTCAGTGCTGCTGTTTGCACAGCTGGACATGTCGGATAGAATGAGTTCATCCCTTCAAAGATGAGCTTAAAGCCGCCGTCTAGTAGTGTCTTTCTTTTTTACACCTACGACCATTCCTCATTGTTCTCACAAGCACAGTGAGTTTTAATGAAGTCATGTCTTTTAGTGTAACGCTGCAGGTGCACAAATGCTGATAAACCTCCTTAACTCACTGTCAGATCAGCATGTTTATCTTCAAGCCGCAGAATGTATTTAATTATAAGATATGAAAAGGTCCTTCAGATTTGTTCTCTGGGCTCAGAACTAATGACTCATCTATGAAGCTCAGTGTCTCCCCAAAGGTTATAATGGCTAGTTGCTGATCTTCTGAAGAACTCATTCATGGTAGCATCTAGACTGCAAGGTATAGAAATTTATTTTAAAAATAAAGAAATAGGGGCGCCTGGGTGGCGCAGTCGGTTAAGCGTCTGACTTCAGCCAGGTCACGATCTCGCAGTCCGTGAGTTCGAGCCCCGCGTCAGGCTCTGGGCTGATGGCTCAGAGCCTGGAACCTGTTTCCGATTCTGTGTCTCCCTCTCTCTCTGCCCCTCCCCCGTTCATGCTCTGTCTCTCTCTGTCCCAAAAATAAATAAACGTTGAAAAAAAAATTAAAAAAATAAAATAAAGTAAAATAAAGAAATAGCTTCTGAAGGCCCAGGAAACTTTACCAAATACAGAGTTAACATAATCAAACCTACACACACACATGCATATATATATATGTGCATATATATACATGTATATGAATGTGTGTTGTGTGTGTGTGTGTGTGTGTGTGTGTGTGTGTGTGTGTGTATGTGTGGAGAGAGAGAGAGAGAGATGCCAATATGGTATGCTGTAACAAGCTTCCAGACCTGTGCTATAAGGAATTCACTCTTAAAATTTTAAGAGGTACATACCCCTAGGAAGTTTATAAATTAAATTTATAAATTAAATTTAATCACATTGCTTTTTTCTTAAGACTAGATTTCTGAGGGAATGGTAGTTTGACCTGGACATTGGGAAAGAGATGTGTGAGGAGGGAATAGGTGCTGAGAAGAGGGTGGAGGGGTACCTGTGTGGCTCAGTCAGTTAAGCGTCTGACTCTTGATTTTGGCTCAGGTCATGATCTCATGGTTCATGAGATCAAGCCCTGTATTGGGCTCTGTACTGACAACGCAGTGCCTGCTTGGGATATTCATTCATTCATTCTCTCTCTCTCTCTCTCTCTCTCTCTCTCTCTCTCTCTCAAAATAAACATTTAAAAAAAGAAGGGGGGATAACAGGGTTAGGGAGTGCTCACTTCTTTCCAGTAAGATGTGGCTGGAGCTGTCCCTTCAGAAGGAGAACACCATGGATTCAGAGGGCCATGGGGATCCCAAGGGAAGGAGAAGAGACAAACAAAGGATGTAAGTGGGAAGCCTAGCATGGGCAAGGATAGGGAGGGCAGAAGGAAGATAGGATTCAGTCATAAAGACAAATAGGCTTAGTGGAAAGCACATTCATTAATTTAGAGTTAGATAAATCATTTGACCTATAAGCATGTTTTCATCTGCCTATCTCACTTCATAGCTATTAGTGTAAGATCATGCCTTATGAACAACTTGCTGGAAAGTGTTTTAAAACTATAAAGCAAAAACCAAAACAAACTGTAGCATAATGTAAATTATCATAATTATTACTTCCTTTAATCAGTTGAATATTTATTTATTGAACACTGACCATTTGCCATGTGCTATACACAGTAAAAAAATCCCTCACTCAAGTTTCTCAGGGCTCAGTGAGGAGACAGGTGAAGAAATCAATAACCATACAAAATACACATACCATAAAGTTCTCCAAGGGTAAGGAAGAAGAGGGAACATGTCTACCTGGAGAAATTAAGGCTTTGCAGAGGAGGAGATGGTTGAGCTGGGTCCTGCTTGATGAGGTCACAATAGGAGACAATGGAACGTCGGAAGGAGCAGCAAGGGCACAAGCAGCCAGCCCCATGTGGCAAGTCTATGCTGCTCAGTGCTGCTTGGCGTAAAGAATAAAAAGCACACGAATGCCAAATCTCATAACTAACTCCCCTGGCCTGATTCCATGCTCACCAAGCCACCTTCTGATGATAATTTGGCTTCCCGCTTAGATTTGCCTGCAGGGAAAGCACATGCTGGTCAAGAGGCTGAAGTATCCAGTCCGCTAGGTGATTATATTTCTCATTGTAAATTAATAAATCAGCATCCTGGCTGATGCATTTTTTAAAGTTCGGAAATGAAACTATCACTTATAAGGCGGTTGTAAAGGAAATTAGGTGAAAATTCACCAGGAAATCAGCCTTCAGGCTGCTGATGTGGACAATGACAGAACAGCTGTGCAAACACCACAGGTAACTTCCAGGAATGGGCTCCCGACAAAGCCATATTACACAGTGCATTTTCTTCATACGTCAAGTGCTCCCTTTAACATTTTCCTCCATTGTCATAATCCCCTGAAATAGCCAAAAGAAGCATCAAATGTCAGTCTTTCCAGACTCCTAGAAACCAAGGTCTGGAGAATAAAATGAACCTACTGTACCAGATCCTTTACCCTTCCTTCCATGGGCTGAATTGTGTGCCCTCCAAAACTTTATGTTGAAGTTCTAACTCCTAGTGCCTCAAAATGTGTCTGTATTTGGAAACAGAGCCTTTAAAGAAGTAATTAAAACTCAGTGAAGTCATTAGGGTAGCCCCTAGTCCAGTATATCTGATCTCCTTATAAGAAGAGGAGATTAGAACACAGACATGCAGAGACCATGTGAAGACAGATGGAGAAGATGGCCGCCTGCAAGACAAGGAGAGAGGCCTTAGAAGAAACAACCTTCCCCACACCCTGTTCTCGGACTTGCAGCCTCTGGGACTACGAAAGAATAAATTTCTACTGTTTAAGCCACTCAGTCTGTGGTACTTTGTTATAGTAGCCCAAGAAATACACTTCTTTTCATATTCTTCCCCCAACCATTCCAAACAGAAGTCACCTATCTGGGCCCTTCAACCTAGACAACCC